GAATCACCCATGCATGATTCCTAATCCAGATAAGCGATTTTAGGTTGGGATTGGCTATTGTTTAAACCAGTGGTTTAAAAAACGTATCAGTGCCTCGGATCGGGCACCACAAAAAGCCATCTGGATGGGTGAATCGGCGATCCGGATTGGAAATCGGCCAAATCGGCCTTAGAAAAAATCCAAATAAATTATTAAAATTCATTATAAATGTTGGTTTTTAGGAATCCAATAAGAAATGAGGGTACTACCATATTAACTTTCATTTTTTTTTAAATATGAGAATCTTAAGATGTTCTTTCCCTGTATGAACTTATGTTAACCATTAAATTAACATCAAATAGAAGAAAAATTATAGAATTATAGTGGATGAAATATATAATCATACATGGGCTACAATAAAGAATGGTTTAAATCGATGATTATGGTTTAAATCTGTTAAAAAAAAAAAAAAAATTTACAACCTAACTAACTACAATCCAAAATTATTACAACCTAACTAACTATAATACTATATACTAAAATTGAAATTGTTGGTTTACATTTTATCGGTATTTTATTACACAAATAATAGCAAATCCAAAACATCTTATAAGATCATCTAACTTAAAATGTATTATTGACAACTGTAAGGAAACAAAATACATTACATAATTTATAATGCAAATAAATTAAAATAAAAGATTTGGTTGTCAATGTAGAATTAAATTCTAAAGTGGCATGAGTTAGTGTTATTTTTCACTCTTAAAATATCCTCTAAACTAATATTTGTTAATATTCAATAAACTAGAACTAATATTATTTCTTGTTTTTCTAATATCCTATGAGATAGTACTAATTTTTAATCTCAATTAACTACTCAATTAATTATTAATTATATAATAAAATAATCCCGTGAGATAATAGCCTAATAGAATTTTTATGTTTTATTTGGGTAGGTAAATTTAAATTTTTTTGGTGAAAGATAGGGGTGGTGAGCACCTAATTATTAGTTCTAATAATTTTTTCCTTTTTTAATCATATAATTTAATTACTACCATCGGACGTACAGTCTTCTTATTCATGATGGGCATACACCGTCGGGGGTACACAGTCGGGGTACAAAATCGTGGACTAATATGTTAAAACTTAAAACCTAAAAGGAAAGAGACGTGGGATTAAAGCACATGAACCCTCATGTAAGTTGAATAAAGCAAAGGTACATATATAATTATCCCACATCGAAAAGATGTAGGATGAAAGGGTTGTATAAAATAAGCAAGACAACAAGCTTTATAAACGGCGGATGCTAGTACGCTACGTGGAAGTGAAGTGGGTAAGTCAGTATGCTAACGTAAGCATGACACAAGAAGGTGGGGGCATATAATTTGAATTTTTAATTGAAAAATAAAAAAACACTGAAAAAAAGTTATTACCTAATTGAAAAATAAAAAGAATTGAAAACACTGTAGCGACACGTGAAGGATGATGTCACGGGGCGTGAGTTACTGTAGCGACACACGAATCATGACGTCACTAGGTGATTCACTGTTCCGAATTGCCCGGTCCTCTCTAGACACGGGCGTTTTAGCATTATTTGGTAGAACCGGTATGGGGATGCCGATTCCTGTATCGAACAGGGCGAGTCCGATTCGACTCGACGAGTTTTCAAACACTGGGTTTAAACACAATTTCACAGTAATTATCACCTATTGTACATTCTTCATACATCAATATAATAGGCAGGATACCCACTCAATCCCCTCGCTAGCTTAGAAGGGAGAGAGAAAAAAAAAAAGGATATCAAGGGCCATGAAGCTTACTGAAACAGGAAGCAAAATATCCCAAAAACCTGAGACTGAAGCAAAAGAGTTGAAAGAATTCATAGACGTTGTTAAACCTTGAGATAATCCGGCACAAAGAGCATGGTCCATATCAAACATCAAAACTTCATGGTTTTAGTTTCTTGTGAAGTAAAACACAAAGTCCACATCTCGGAGGCCATTAGAAATTCCCAATTGCATAAATTTGGGACGTTATAATATGGCTCATGACCCAACCCCACATCATCAAGAGGCAATCATCGACACCAAAAAGAACATATGAGTTATTATCCTTCGCAAAATACCAGGCTACACCGTAAAAGCAAGTCATTGTTTGCTTCTTCACCGTAAGGTCGAAATAAACGCAAGATCCAAGATCTCTACCTAAATCATCTCGGTAATCTACCTCGAACATTTTCTTCCCTCCATGTTGGATGGCGAAGAGCTAAAAACAACATTCTTTTGATTATAGGGGAACTGAAGGGCAGGTAGCCATGGACCATATAGCCCAATTGGGCCTGTTGCTCTAGAGAGAGAAAGATTTGTCTTTTTGAGAGAAAAAATAAGAGCCTTGGAGATTATGATGGCAAAAAGTGGCCAATTTATTGAGAGTTAGGCTTCGATGGGTGGCAGATGAAACTGTGACCGCAAACAAGCCATCAATTTTGAATGTGATATAGCATGTTGGGTCTTGGATTCATGGGATTGGGAAGAAAGAGATATTCTAGTATCTATTCATGGGCAGATTGGAAACAAAGGAAAGTAGCTTTGTTATCAGTTTTTGAGGGACATTGAGGACAAGAATGGGACCAACATCTAGAGAGAGACAAGCTGAGTTTTTGAGGGCTCGTGGAGCATAACCATGACGTGTCTATAGATGGGATGGTTAAAAAGAGAGAGGCGGATTCCAAAAAAAGAAAGTATAGGGGAGATTAGAGAGAGGGACTGTGGGCAAGGGCATTATCCACCCTAAAGGGTGTTGGGGTGGTTAGATGCATGCAAAATGGGGTCTATGATAGGCTTCTTATCGGGTATGGTCAACCCGACCTGATCTAAATTTGGACCCTCAAAGTGGACCTATGAGGTTTGATTTAAGTCCAATAGATCCAATCCCATCCAGGTCTAGGCCTAGATAGGTCCATGTTATCCAGATCCTCCTCCACATCTAGCTAGACCGACCCATGTGTGTAGGACCCTAAACTATCCTGGCCAGATTCCAAGTATGGCTAGGCCAACCGTGTGTGTAGGTAACAGTATAACAAGGTCAGATTCCAAGTCTGGCTAGACCAACTGTGTGTGTAGAAGGTAACCTTGGCCATGCGCTCTTAAATGGCAGAGCCAACCCAAAACCACTCAATTAAATGCAATTAGTGAAAATCCAACAGATGGCCATCTGCATCTTGAAAAATATGTAAATTAATTTTCACTTGCAGGCAAACAAGGGGTAACCAAGTAACCAACCAAACATGACGATGTGAAGTGAGTGATATTTAGGCATTCAAAATGTGCAACCAAATTGACATCCCACTGCAACACCCAAAATAGCTCTTAGGAGTAATCCAAATTGACCCACAAAGGGAGAAAAAAAAAATCTAGCATTTTTAATAATCTCATGAGCTCCATTAAAGACAAAATCACTTCTTCAAGGGATTCAAACACACAAGCTAATTCGTCTATCTTTGTTGAGCTCCTCCAGAATCAAGGGAAGAAGACCATCCAATTCTCTCTCCTCTCTATGTTGCTCAAACCAAAGCCCCAAAAAAAAAAAATTATAGGAAGCAATACAATAAAAAGGTGAAAAAAGATAATCAAAGTCCCATCCCCACACCAAAACAAGAAGTCCTTCCTATCCTCTATACCATACATGATACCTTCATAAACTACACTCAGGCATAGCACAAAAAATTCCCACGCCAAAGCTATGGTCACTCATATCTGCTATCATATACATGATACCAACCTAAACTTTTCCCAGGCATGTCAGGGGAATTCCCAAGCCCAATATTGTGCTCTGCTATACCTTACTAGATTCCCCATTTCTAGAACAAACCCAATGAGCCAAACATCCTCCCTAAAGCACAAATGCCTTTGCTCATGTTTTTTGCATAAGCCAAAGTATATTCCTCGGGAGATGATTGCAACATGCCAACTGAAACCTAGTGTGTGGCATATGCAGCTAAAAAGAAACAATATTTTACCGCAAAATGTGGAAAACCATAATAAACACAGAGAGAAAAGAAGAATAGAAGGAAATAGTAAATGCAAACATCAAGAATTTAGTTTTATAGAGTAACTTTAAAAGCATCACAGAAAAGCACTGCTGTTTCAGCAACAATTGTATATCATAAGAACTATATATTCATCATGGGGGATCCACGATAGAATACTATGCATATGATAAAGTCGATTCATTTATCAGGAAGCTTTCAGCAATAAGCAAAATAAGTAAACTAATACAATGGATTCCATCAGTTATATTTATGGTTTGCGAATTCCTTGGAAATAAGATATCGCACTCAGATGTCAGATGAATAATACAATGGTAATGTGTCAAAGTATTCAACCACTCACCCCGCCATAAAGAGTCACTAACCCCAATGTGCATTCTAGCTAGAACGAATGTATACCCCAAAAGAAGATACCTTTTCAATATTAAGATGCATATCACTGCTTTTAGAATTGATCCATGAGGACCAGGAAATTACAACATACAGTAGTTAAAACCCAGCAGTTTCACAGAGAAAAACAAACCTATAAGGCAAAATCACACGACAAAAACGCTTGATCTCACAAAAGCTCCCAAAAACACCAACAATCAAAATACTCCACAGAAAAGAGAGAACAAAAGAACGAAAGAGGGAGAGAGAGGGAAAGAGGAGAGAAAGTAAGGAAAAAGAAACGATTTGAAACGAGATGTGATGCACAAATGAGAGACCTAGTCGAAGCTCCCCCATTCAAACCCCAAACAAGGAATAGCAGACAAAAAGTACCGGATCAAGGCCAACGCTACTCACTCCATCCCATTACAACTCAAACTACGAAACAGAATTCCAAATCCACTCGGATCCAGCGAAAAGAAGGCACCAACACCAGAGAGAAAAGAAAAGCAACCCTCTTTCCAAAAGAAAACCTAGGTTTTCCACATGAGAGAAAGCACCTCAACAAAACAGTGGATTCATGGAGAAAGTGAGCGAAGAAAACCTCTTGCTCTGAGAGAGGCTTGCACTGCATGAGCTGCGAAATCTGGGCGTCGAGGTTGCCATGGGAGTTGGACACCGGATCCACGCTCATCTTACTCCTGTGATGCCCTCTCCCCTCCAAAAATTCTCTCTCTCTCTTCCCTCTCTCTCTCTACTCTATGCGTGTCTGGTTTTGGGGAGGAAGAGTTGAGGAGGTGGTGGTGGAGGTGGTGGTGCGCCCGAGACCAAACCCTCGTTCGGTGTTTCGATCGCGCTTTTATAAATAATAACAATACACTTAGATGAGAGAGAGAGAGACAGAGAGAGAGAGGAGTAGAAATAATAACAACATAGATGAGAGAGAGAGAGAGAGAGAGAGAGAGAGAGAGAGAGAGAGGAGTAGAAATTGGTGCGCTTTACATTAGTCCATTTTGCATAGAATTTAATTTAATTTTTAATATGATAATTTGATATGATTGTGGACTGCGCCTTCTTTTGGGTCTTTTCGCTTTAACTTCAGGCTCCCGCCCTACCGAGTTTTTCTTTGGCTTCTCCACCAGAGAGACATGAAGAGAGAGAGAGATATTGGAGCTAGAGAGAGAGTGATGAAAGAGAGGTATTGGAGCCAGAGAGTGTGCGATGAAGAGAGAGGCATTGGAGCTAGCGAGTGTGTGATGAAGAGAGAGGTATTGAAGCTAAAGAGTGATGAAGAGGGAGAGTGATGAAGAGAGAGGTATTGCAGCTAGAGAGTGATGAAGAGAGAGGTATTGGAGCTAGAGAGTGATGAAGAGAGAGGTATTGGAGCTAGAGAGAGGGGGTAGTTGGAGAGAGAGAGAGGTAGTGGAGCTAGAGACAGAGGGGGTATTGGAGAGAAAGGTAGTGGAGCTAGAGAGAGAGGATTTGAGCTAGAGAGAGAAGTATTGGAACTAGAGAGACAGTGGAGCTAGAGAGAGAGGATTTGAGCTAGAGAGAGAAGTATTGGAACTAGAGAGACAGTGATAAAGAGAGAGAGAGAGGAATTGGCGGCAGGCGGCTCAGGGGTTCGGAGCGAGAAGTTATCCTCACACTCTATTTCAAAGCCCACTGTGTGGCCCTAATGCCACATATTTCCTTTGTTTACATCTTATGGCATGCTCCCGCGTGAGCATGTTGTATACTTACTCCTACGTGTGAAGTAACAAATTATGGATTATTTTATGTGAAAATTAGAGATCCATCCTAGGACTCTGCCATGACCTTTTGAGAATAGACAAAGTGAGTTTTTGAGAGTTTAAACACCTGAATCATATGAAGATTCAATGGCCTCTTTTCAATTTTAGGTTTGTTATTTATTAATACAATCCGAGTTCCTTGATTTTTTTTTTTTTTTTGACACAAACCCAACTCAAAGGAAAACGTCTATATCGAGCCTAGGCTCTAAACAATCAAATTAGAGCCTACCTCGAAAATTTCACTATATGAGGTTCAAATATCCTCAAATTGATAATCTCTACATCAAGATGCATGGACTTGAGAAAAAAATGGACCGTCAATTTTTTTGTCATTCAATTTTTAAATTATTCAAGTTTTTGAAATAGTGCACCTTGTAACACATTTTTTTACCGTCAATTTTTAAATTATTCAAGTTTTCATAGATTTGCTCAATCTATACTATTTTTGAAGCTTTAAATTTTATAAGTAATAGATGAAACTACATTTGAAGGCTGGTCAAATATTTCCAATATTGAAACCACATTTCCAATATTGAAACCACTATTTGAAGGTGGGCTCTAATTTGATTGTTTAGAGCCTCGACTCTATACAAACCACACCCAAACTCAAAAGCCCTAACAACACTCTTTAGATTTTTATGTGAGATAGTGAAGGGAGGAAATGCTCTACCTAGAGCACCCTATTTCTAAATCTTGAGAAGGATGATGTATTAATATGTTACAACCCACAACGAGCTGGGCGGCCCAGCTCCATCCAACTTGGCTCTAAGAAAAGAAGGGCTAGGCCACAAACTGTGGCCCAGGGACGGGCTAGGGCCAGTGCTAGCTTGGTTTAGCCTGGCCCAACCCTCTTATATTTTTTATTTTTGTCTTTCTTCCATTTTTTTTAATTTGTTTTTGGCCCACCTTGCCTGACCTCGGGATAAGGGCCGGGCCATGGCCATTGCTAACTTGGCCTAAGCCCAAGCCAAGCCCAAGCCCAAGCTCGCCCGGTTGCCACCTTACCCATCTGTCTCTCTCTCTATACCTCACCCATCACTCCGTCCCTACTTTCCCCCTCTCAGTCACATTACGCTCTCCAAATATCGAATACGCTTTTCTTAACGCAACTCATTATGGAGGGATAATAAATACCATGACATAGATGGGATTGAAGATACACTGAAATTACACCAAACCCACTTGGTTGTAGGGGCTTAGAATTTATTTGATCTGGATCCCAACCCCAAATCTGGATTCTATACAAATCCAAGATTAGATTTAAAATTCAGATTTGGATCTAAAACCTAGATCCAAATAGTAATTTGGGTCGGATCTGGTTATAGGTGGATCTGATTAGGATCTGACCCGGTTTTTTAAAATAATATAGATTATTTATATAGATATATATGGCTGTGGTTTGTATAGAGTCGAGGCTCTAAATAATCAAAGTAAAGCGCACCTCAAATAGTGTCAAGAAATGTGGTTTCCATACTACAAATCTTTGTGATAACCTTAAAATATATTTATATCTTTAATTATAAAAATTAAAGCTTCAAAAATAGTGTAGATCGAGCAGATCTATGAAAACTTGAAAATATTGAAAATTGACGGTCCAAAAATATGTTATAAGATGCACCATTTCTAAAATTTGGAATCCAATTTTTTTCTCATGCCCATGCATCTTGATATGTCACGATGATCAATTTGAGGATATTTGGGCGTCAAGAAAACCTCTTCTAGCGAAATTTTTTAGGTTGGGTCTAATTTGATTGTTTAGATACGAGAAATGCTCGTGTAGGCCTACATCTACATATGAGCCTAACGGCCCAGATTGAATATGGGTCGATCTAATGATCACGATTACATTTACTATTTGAATTTTAATATTTTTTAATAAATCTAGATCACTTGAAATTTTGGACATGTATTCTTTAAAAATAAAAGAATCTAATAAAAATATAAAAAAAAAATGTCGTAAAAAATAAATAGACCAAAATACCCTTGAAAAGTTTCAGGGGTATCTTGGTCAATTTATATATTGTGAATTAGTTTTTTAATATTTTTATTAGGTGCACCTTGATGGGAAGAATAGACGGTTAAAATTTCACATGATTTGGATTTGTAAAAAAATAAATTTAAATTTAAATACGAAATGTGGTCGTGTACGTCAGATCAGCCTAGATTCAATCTAGGCCGTTGGGCTCATAGGTAGCTGTAGGACCACTGATTACGGTAGCATTTCCCTATATATATATATATATGTGTGTGTGTGTGTGTGTGTGTGTGTGTGTGTGTGTGTGTGTGTGTGTGTGTGTGTGTGTGTGTGTGTGTGTGTGTGTGTGTGTGTGTGTGTGTGTGTGTGTGTGTGTGTGTGTGTGTGTGTGTAGTAGTAGTA